GAACTAAAGTGAGACAAAATGTCAGGCTGCATTTTAGAGTTGCAGCTCTGGAGAACTTCCTTGCTCTGAAGCAGAGGTGATAGCAACTACTCTGCTTCTTCTGCCCTGTTAATCTTCTGTCTCCCTTTAGTGCTTTGCTCCACCCTTCCAGTCCTGTGTTTTGGAACAAAAGTCAACTCCTGCTTTCTAATAGCAGGATGTGTTCAGAGGCCTGTAGAGGCCTGGGAGAGAAGGTAAGGTATACTGGCTGAAGACTTGCTGGTGTTTTCAGTTCCGTTTGCCTTTTGGTGGCATGTGGAAACTCCGGGCCAACAATCCCACTTCCTCTACAGTCTAGTCCATAATCCATCATATTTATTTTGGAGACGGCGGACAAAGAAATGTAAGAGGATGAGAGCTTAAGCATGTGGGCGTATATGTGCAAGAGTGTCTCCCTATAGTTTGTCACACCAGAGCCTAAGTGAACAGGGTGTTCAGACATAGTATTCAATCTGTAAAGGCCAACAGTACAGATGCTCAGTGTGTGAAACGGGACACTATGCATGTACATGCCTGTGGAGCTCATCCATGTAAGGTGGGGATCCTGATTGCCTCAAGATCTCCTCTTGCATAGAGGAACTGTATGTATGTATGTATGTATGTATGTATGTATGTTGGTATGTACATAGAACTCCTCACGAGAGGATGGAGGAGGATGTGGCCACAGGGTGCAGGAGGCGGATTGCCTGAACTCTGCTTATGTGACTTCCAGCCGCAAAGGTAAAGTATTTTAGAGCAGGTTGCATAGTCCAACCATTTCCATCCTTCTTAAGAATTCAGCTTTAGCAATAACTTGTTTGCACGGTGGCCCCATTTTCATTTTTACAAAGCTTCAGTGGTATGGGAGGAGGAGAATTGTTCTGACATTTATTCATGAAGAAGTTTAATTTCATAGCAACTCTGTAAAAACACCATGCACAAAGTGTTGCAGGTTGGAGTGTTCTCCTTTAGGGTTCCAGCCAGCCAGCTATTTCCTCTTCACCCCATTTCATTTCTTTCCCACTCCTCTAGCCTCGTTTCCATTCCTGTCTGCCCCAAAGTCAGTTAAGCTGCCCATAGCAAGCTCAGTCCTCATTGAACTACCAGTATGTAGCCCCGGCCCAAAAATGCCTTGAGTCTGCTGGCACTTCTCTCTTGTCTGTTGCTGGTGTGAATTTCAGTATGTAAGTATCCACTTATGAGGTTACTGTTAGTCTATGCAACAACTATAACTACAACAACTATAACAGCAGGAACTACTACAATTACAGCAGCAGCTACAAGTAAGATGCTGCTACAAGTAAGATTTTCCATTCCATTTTAACATGGACTGGTCTTTTACGTGGAACAAAGTCATTACGTGATCATTATGAGTAAGGTTTTATAGTTCTCCCTCTCTTTCACATTAACAAACCATCACAGAATAGAACTGGATAAGCAAAGCAAATTCTGTGGGAAATGAGGAAAAGATTGAGAGAACAAATTTGACATAAAGGCAGCTTCTTTGGGGAGCCAGAAAAGTGCTTTGAGGATTTTGCTAAATAGTGTGGCTAGGCAAGGAAATCATTGCTTGGAGATTATTCTCTCTCTCTCTCTCTCTTTCTCTCTCTTAGCAATTCCGAATTCACTTCATAAGCCAAAAAGATTTTTAACTTGAGCGATGCAGAGGTGAAACGCAGAAAGACTGTTACTCATCACTTGCCACATACATTCCTCCCTCATGTAACATTCAAGCAAAGCCTGAAAGGAAAGATAACCCTTATGCTGAGCTCTGAAGGTCAGTCGACTCGGACTCTGGCAGAGTAATGTGGGGAATTGCAGAGCCAGGAGCCCTCGGCTTCTTGAGCTATAGTATGAGGAACAGACTGCGGCTGGGAGGAAAAATGTCCTATTGAATTCACTTTCCAAGACAGGGTCAGCAGATATTACATCTATTGTCAGCTTTATAGAGTCTATTGCACATTTCTATGTACAAAGGAAGCAGAAACTCCCAAGGGTAAGCTACCTGACTAAATGTCCTATTGAGTGAGCCAGAGAAGGCTGTTTTCTGTATCAGAGATCTATTGCATTTGGATGGTGGTGGTAATAAACTGCCATAATTCCTCTCAGGCGGAAGTCTTTATAGAGATAATTCACACTGAGTCTTCTTGGATTTTGCCACAGTAAGGATTTTATTTGACGTTTGAAGCAAGATCTCTGTGGTATCAGAAGATACTAGAACTTGTATCTGAGAATAAAGTTTGCCTCTTCATTGTGCCTCCTATTTTAGACCCTTTGTTTACTGATACCCATGGAAGTCTATCCATGTATGAAGAAAAGTAGCTACAGTGGCTGTGTCTGGATGGGATCATAAACCATGGGTTATTGTGATGGGAATGAATTAATGAATGCCTCACACTCACACATGCCCTGTCTCCATCCACTATGGATGAGCGGGGGCAATAAGACACTTTTCTATTAATTTTAGATTATCCAAACCTGAAAATGTGTGGTTGCTACCAATCTGTTCCTGGTCACCATGCCAGAGAAGGAGGGAAGAATAAGCCTTGCAAAGGGTTTGTTCACACTGTTATGAACAGCTGAGGTGCAGGAGAGTGGGGGAGGGGTCAATCCTGCTCAATTTGGGTACATGGGAGAGTTCCCAAACCCAGCCCTAAGCAGGTTGGAAACTGCTTCCTTGAGACTTCATAGCACTGAATCATCTGATGTCATTGTGATGCCAGGTGACTGACACGTAGGGGGCCCTACCCACTTGCTAAATTTGACTCATGATAAGGATCTGGCCCATGGAGCCAACAAGGTTCCCCACTGCTTTGGAACTAACAATTTATCATTACTTCCAAATGCAATAAACTAAGTTCATGAGGGCCAGACACTTATTTTTCAAAACATTAAAATCAAGATTCTTAATATTCTGCCCATAGTCCAGGAATGAAAAAAAAAAAAGTATGTCGGAGCCTGATCAAGGCATTTTAAATGTCGACACAATACATTTTTGCCTACAATACAGTCATTGCCTTGATAATCTCCCCAGCACTATAGTCTTAAGATTATGTACTTACAAGTAAATATTAGCAAAATCAATCGGAACATACTTTCATATAAAAATGTTTAGCTGTAAATAGCAAAGCTGTAAGTGGTAAGACATTTAAGGAGAAGTAACCTATGTGAGAGAAAAACCCAAATATATTGTGCAGTTATTAACTTATTAACTACTGGTCTTGTTTATAATTAGCTTCTTATCTGTGTAAGGTATTTGTAGAAGCATACAAGAGTGACAACTGAGTTTTACTTTTAAGTACCATTAATAACTTGTCTATTCCACCAGTCCTGTACTGGAAACAAGTATAGCCTGATAAATGAATGATAATTGCCCAGTGCATTCACAAAAATGCCAAATTTGCAAATAAATATGCTGATTACTGCTATATAATAATTAGTTTATTTGCCAACTTTCAGAATTTTGACTAAGTAAATAGTATATTCTCTTAGTCATCACAAGTTATTAACCATACAGAGGTGTATTTGTAGAAAGTAAGCACAAACTCTTCATATTAGCTACAGGTGTCAATATATTTTTAAAAATCTGACTGCAGCTGAGCAGAACCAAGGCTACTTCACACTACATTATTTTACATATCAATTCTGTGTAGGAGCAATTGGGTACTCTGTCATGTGTAAACAATCCACATGCTTATCTCTGCTGAGTGTAACACATAGTGGTAAGATGCAGTAAGCCAAAGTAACCTATGTGAATAACTATATAAGCACTATATAACCTATGTGAATAACTATATAAGCACATGTGTATTTAATATATTTATTTAATGTATTTAATCGGCTTGCACACATTACCTAACAGTGAAGTAATATCTTCAAAGGAAATGATCAAAAGTGCCAAGAACCATGGTAAAGAGAGAGACACGTTTGCTAAGGTTCTGAAGGAAAGAGCTGGCCAAGGTCTAATGGAGAGCTGGCAATCACTTGACTAAGGCCCAGATCATGCAAGGTGCAGAATTTGTACTGGCATTGTTGAAATTGCCAAAGTTGTATAGGAAGTTGCCTCCAACAAACAGCTAACCCCATGGAACTGCCTCTGCACTGTTGTGTTTCAAGCAGCAATCACACTGCTATTAGCACATCTAAATTAAATTGGGTCTAATCCAGGAATACTCAGTTTGCGAACAACTGCTCAAGTGGCTGGTTGGGTGAGAACACATCTAATGGAACTGAGAAGGCCATGCAAATGCATAGCAGACAGCCGTTTGGTTACAAACCTATTCAAGGGATCTGTTGGACTTTTATCATTCTTTTTTATGTACAAAAATGAGCCCAACAGAGTAGTCATGACTTTCATTGACAAACCACGTAACATTATCATGTGGAATGTCACTCCACTATCTGAGCCCTGGAGAACTGTTGTAAGTAATATCATAGCATAATGTTTGGTTATTGCAGCAAGTGGACCCTTCTGAAGTAAACTGGTACTAGAAAATATAATTAATGATCAGTCTGTGAGTGCTTAGAAAAAGATACTCTGATTATTAGGATCCAACATGCAGATGACACCAGATTGGGATAGGAAGCCAATGCTGCTGAAGATTTGGGATTCAATAATACTTTAACAGATTGGAGAACTGGGCCAAGACTAACAAAATGAATTTCAACAGGGATAAAGTTGAGGTTCTACACTTAACAGGAAGAACTAGTTGCACCAATACAAGATGGGGGACATCTGGCTTACCAGTAGTACATGTGAAAAAGGTATATAGATGTCATGATAGACCACAAGCTTAACATGAGTCAGTGTGATGCAACAACGACAACAAAAAGCAAATGCTATTCTAGACTGCATCAACAAAAGTATAGTGTCCCGCTTTATGTTGCCTTGCTCAGACCACGCCTGGAATACTGTCCCCAGTTCTGGGCACCATAATTTAAAAAGGATATTTGTTCTAACAGGGTTTGGGGAAACTGACTGGACCTGAGGGATAGCTCAGTTAGTAGAGCATGAGACTCTTAATTTCAGGATTGTGGGTTCGAGAGCCATATTGGGTGAAAGATTCCTGTATTGCAGGGGATCGGACTAGATGACCCTAGTGGTATCTTCCAACTCTACAAGTCTGTGATTCTGCTTTTAATGAAAGGGCTGGTGCTGAACTGTTTTTATTGTAACTACTTGTATGGTTTTAATTCATGTTTAGTATGTGTGTGTGTAGATAGATAGATAGATAGACAGACAGACAGACAGACAGACAGACAGACAGATACAGTTATAATTCTATCAATGTTTAATTATTTTTTTCTACATTGTTAGCTTTTAAAAAAATCTGTAAGCCACCTTAAGTCCCTGTCAGGGATAAAGGCATGGTATAAATAATAAATAAATAAACTGTAAAGATATATTACTTCTTATACAATAGGTTGCATTACGTTGCAAGAAAGGAGATTGAACAGCAGCATCCAGATAAATCAGTAAGGGCATTAGGAGAGAGACCAATGCAAGTTTGAGGAATTGCCCTTTAGAAATCAACTTACAGATACAGCTTTAGGAATTTAGTGACTTAACCAAGCAGGTGATTTTTTTAGTCTGGGTTCCTATAAGTCTTGATTTTGAGGCTTAGATGCTAATTTGCAGCAAGGATATTTTTTATTTCATACTGTGGTCCTTTTCTTAAGCATCCATGAGATTGGATTTACAAGTACGCCCAAAGCCTGTTGCCATTTTGAATGATATTAATGATCCAGATTGATTTTTTTCTTTCAGCTAAAGTGGATCAGTCATTTGACAGGCATGATAAGAAATGGCTCCTTATTTACATCAACATTAAGCAGAAGAAAAATCTATTGTATAACTCTGCAAAGCGCGCCAGAGTGTATATGGGTGCCACTTTATTTTTACAAAGGATCAGTATCTCAGGCAGAATATGTCAGGCAACATAAGCACTAAATGACAGCATTACTCATTTTGAAATGTCCATGTAGTCAGGGGGATTGAACCATAACCCAATATCATGCACAGATCAAATTACCTGGTAGAGGAAGTGCTTGGTAGGGATCTCCTCATTGCTCCTGGGCTCATGCTATAGTATGAGGAACTTTCCAAATCTGAGAGTGAGAAATTAGGCCCTGTTCCGGCAGCTATCGGTGCTGGGAAAACAAAGGAAAGGAAGTAAGTAAGTGATGTGGAAAAGGAATAATTACATTTCAAACATTCACTTTCACCTTAATGACCTACCAGCATGTAGGTAGTAAGGTATGAGTTAATTGGCACTGTAATCAGCAAGATTAAAAGTTCATTATGCAACTTTATGATTAAGGTCTTCTTTGAAGGTCTTTTACTGATGGCAAAGTCTGATTTTGTACCATCATGTATTTCAATGGCTTTAGAAACTGTAGGAATGCTTCTTCTTCTTATATCTGTTTCCTCATGTCTGGCATTACTGAGCACCTTAGCAATGTTCTCCCAAGCATTTCTCAATGTTTGCTGTCCTGTGCACATGATAAGGCCTTCCTTTGTTACATTTTTCTCTTGACTTTTACAAATGTGTGTAATGAACTAGTTTTTCACAAAGATATTACAAAGTCCTTTCTCTGCAGTGTTAAAAACAGAAGGTCATGAATCTCTTGCCATCAATAATATGGATCTGGTATCATCCACATAAGAAGTTGCTAAAGGCCTTTCTAGAGATTTTTTTATTACGCAATAAATATGCAGCTGTTACTTGGTTGTTGTGGGGGATCCAAAGCCTTCTCTCACCTGTTGTAAAGAAACAGCATCCCCCCAACACTTAAACAACAATTATTATTTTTTGCTGCCATTATATGAACAGCTAGTGCAATAGTGAAACTGTAGAATCCTGTAATTCTGAACTCAGACTAGAATGAAGGGGAAGACACACTTCAGTCTTGACATGAGTTCGGGATAACAGGCAGAGAGGCAGCAGCTTCATCCTCTGCAATTCAGCAACTGCCTCCATTGCTAGGAGGAATCACCAGGCAATCCCCAGCCAGGCAATAAACAGACAAGGCCAGGATGAGCCAGCTGGTGTTACCACAGTTCACCCTCAACAGTAACTTTATGTATATTTTCTGTGCCAGTTATGGATTGATCTGGGAGAAAAACAGACAGCTCCTCTCCTCCCTTTCCAGGGGCTCCAGGAGTCCGTTAACTGCTTCATGACATCCTGTGGCATAAAATCAGAGCCATTCCCAAGAATGTATTACATGACAGCAGACCACATATCAGTTTTCAAAGTGTTATTTTATTTAAATCTCCATTTCCTCCAGGAGTTAAAAGCAATGTGTGCAATCTCCCCGTTTTTATCTTCGCTACCAGTGAGTTAGGTTAGGGTAAGATGCAATGATTGGCTCAAGCCCATCAAGTCACCAATGGGTGTGAGTGGGTGCCATATACTTGTTTACCCAGCGTGCAAAATGTCTTGGGCCACTGAACGGAGGCAAGTCATGTTGGGTGTAATAGCCAAAACATAGTTAGGGCATTAGATCTAAGCCAGATTCCCAATTCTGGTTTCAAGGGCAAGTGGAAACTATAGTTTGCTAATTTGGATCTAACAATGACCTAAGGTCTGCCAAACAAGGAAATCAGGTGGAGGAAGCATGCAAGCCTAAGAATAGCCAAACCGATGGTTTGACACTGTGTATGAAGCAACTCATTGCCTGCATAAATGATTTGCATATGTGAAATATCAATGTACTACAATTCTCATACATCTAATACATTCAGCAAGTGGTAAGCAATCAAGGTTGATTTACATGTTCATTTAGCGTGTCCATGGCCAACAAGGGCCGTCTCTGTAGCTAATTGAGAAGAACTGGTTGGAGGACTGTCTTTAGCATATGCACCACTGGCGTGCAAAGATCCGCCTAGCGCCCCCAAATTTAGTTTAGTCGTTCCCAATTCTTTTAGGGGCGGCGAACTCAAAGTTGTTGAACTTTTTCTGGGAGTGGGGAAGCCAAAGTTGTTGACTTTTTTGGGGAGGAGGAAAATTGCTCACCTGTAACAACGACACAGCGGAAATACAGTGGTACCTCGGGTTAAGTACTTAATTCGTTCCGGAGGTCCATTCTTAACCTGAAACTGTTCTTAACCTGAAGCACCACTTTAGCTAATGGGGCCTCCTGCTGCGGCTGCACCGCTGGAACACGATTTCTGTTCTCATCCTGAAGCAAAGTTCTTAACCTGAGGCACTATTTTTGGGTTAGCGGAGTCTGTAACCTGAAGCGTATGTAACCCGAGGTACCACTGTAACTGCTTTTGTTTCCTGACTCATTGGGAATATTTGACACTACGGAGTAACAGAGCAAAGGGGGGGGGACTATCTCCATTGCTTTTCACTACCGCCGATCAAGAGGGACCGGTATACAGTAGGTATACACTTGGTGCCCCCCAGAGTACATTTGGTGCCCCCCAGAATCCGGTGCCTGGGTGCCGCACACCCCTTGCACCCCTGGGTAAATACGGCCCTGACGGGTTGCCTCCTGTACAACTGTGACCGGGGCAGGAAACCTGGTGTCCTGTCGATGTTCTGAACCTCAATTCCCATCATCCCAGCATGGGCTGGGCTGATGGGAGTTACAGAACAGTATAGTTGGAGGACATCAGTTGCCAACCACCGCCTCTGTGCAATGCCACTTTAGCTGCATATGCACAAATGTCTGTTTGCAGTGCTAGGATTAAAGTGGTGTTATAGACATAACATTGCCTTATAGCAGGTCCATCCAGCCCAGTTGACTGTGTTTACTGGCAGAGGCTTTCTGGGGTCTTGGGCAGAGGTGCTTTCCAGCATTTATCAACTGAGAGCTTTCCACATGCAATATGCTAAACTGCAATCTTCAGCTGAGGAGCAACTATGTACTTAGTGTTTTACAGACTGCAGCTGAAGTACAAGAATAATGGGCAATACAAAGAACAAAATCCTCACACAGCTTACTTATATAGTTCTCATGTAAACTATGGCGTACTCTCAGCCGTGGTTTAAGGACAGCCACTGAACTGAGATGCATTGATAGCAATGCATTTTTAAAAGCACAGGATGGAAGGAGTGCAATGATATTAAAATGGGAGCCAGCCTTTAATGATCTTTGGAAGAAATTAACTTGGGAAATAATTTACAAGAACACTCTAAACTCATTTGCTGTCTTCCTTTAACTACAATATGCTTCCTGTGCAACGGGTGAATGAAACTTTAAAAAAAACCAACCATTGTAAAATTAACTCATTTTATCAATTTGTGCTGTCTGCTAGAGTTTCCTGACAGCAGAGACAAGAGGCTGTAAAACTGATGAATTTGCATGGAAAAAGAAACCAGTGTAAGTAATTTGTGTAAAAGGTAACACGGACATGGACTGCTATAATTCAGACACCCTGCGGATAGCAAACTGCTGCAGTGTGAGCAGTTATGGGTTAGAAAAATGACCACACTGCAGTCAGTCTGACTTGAATGGAAATCAATCATAAAGGTACACTCTGCAGCATCCACTCTACAGTTTTAGCAGTCTTGGCCAAACTTATTTGTGCTTTTAAAAGCCTTTGCTTGATAAATTTTCATTCACACAAGACCTATGGAAGTCCAAACTGAAAGGTTAATAATGTCTTTTCGAAGCAGGTACATAGAAATCTTGCTCCCAAGCCACTATAATATTTATTAAACAGGATTATTGAAGACAGAAAGTGTGTGGAGGGGGGGATGATACACAGCCCAAGTCTATGCATGTGTACTCAGAAGTAAGTCCTACTATATTCCTATGGTATTACTTTATTAATTTACTCCAATCAGCATCTGTTTCTCTGTGTTCTCATTTTACTAGGCTTAGCTCTCTTAAATCTAATTGTTCCTCATGAAGAAAATACTTTTGGAGATATGCAGATATCAAGGGAGGCAGGCGGAGAAATAGGTCTGCATGAACTTAGCCGAATACAATGTGAGAAAGAGTAAGGACATGATAGGGAATAGCAACTCATGTTATAGGTAGTATTTGTATTTGTTACTTTACTACATTTATGACAATTATATTTGTATCCCACCTTTCCTCCA